TCTCCGATGTTGCCTTGGGTGACCGTGGTACGTACATTGTAAGCACGATTTTTTGGTCAGAAGGCGTGGGTGCGTGCATGCCACTTTATTTGACGTCCCTGGTGCAGAGCATACAAACGAACGTCTTCCTTCGCAAATCGCATCTTCGGATGCAGAGTTCATGGTCATTTTAAACACACGTTCTCTTCAAGCGACTCGGAATATGCTGCGCGGTGAGAATGCCAATGACTTGCAGATGTCATTTGTGCGCATCTCAAAATGTCCCGAACCTAGTCGTGCCAGGGAGCTTCGAACAAATAGGACGTAAGAACGGCGTTTCAAGGCGCCTTTAGGCTCTGCCGGATAACTGACGTGGAATGGCCTGCAGTGATTTGCGTGTACGTTGCATTAAACATATTGAACAGGGGAGATAGAGCGTTCAAATTAGTAGAGGCTAGATCTTGCGCTCACGCATGTTTCTTGGGGGAAAAGAAGAGTCATAATTCACAGCCACTGTCGACATCGGTTTCTCGCCAGCTGGCATTGGCATTTGTGCTGGCTGCGTTGTACCTTCCTCGCGAGCCGGTTCCCGCATGCCGTAAGAGGGGCACACACGTCCATTAGTTGCGAGGGAAGGAAGTAAACTCCAAAGCGGCGCCAATCAAAACCACACTGCTTTTCATTCCATTCGGTTCGACCTGGCTGGATGAGACGCCTCTATCTACGTTAAAGCTATCTAGTAAATGGATTTGCAAATGCTTGTATAATATTTGGTCCCGGGGGACTTGATGGTGCCATGCATAAACCCATTCCTTGAACAATGTATCATAACCACTGGTATACCTGCATCCATAGCACAATAAGCCTCCAAAAACATGCCGAAATCCCCCCGAATCATCAAGCGTGCAACTCCATGATCTTTTCCTCCCATAATTTATTCCTGCCCTACTTCTGATTCCTTTCCACCAATCCTTGAAGGCATCGCCAAGAAACATGTTACGCCGTTCGAGTTTCAAGCTGTAGGGTAGCCATGTTTCAAACCATACTCTTCTTCCCAACCGGCACACTCAGCCTTGATATTTCTGAATTAGCCAATTCAGAGAAATTAAACAGAGTAGTTATTTGTGAGTGTTTGTCTATCCTGGGGACGCATCTGCCCGAGAAAGTCATTAAATTGCGGCATTATCTGCTTGTACTGGTTCAGGACCTAGCATCAAAACGCTGTTAGTCACGTGGATTGGGTCACCGCCGGTGCTGATCGATATATACTTACATGCTGAATGACATCGTGAAGTTCCTGCTTCAATGGATTCTGCAATTCCGAGTCCTCATACTGAGCAACTGCCACAAAGTAATCCAACAACACCTTTTCCATAGCTTGCGGGTTTTGACCCACAATCATAGAAAATCCCTTAAAAGCAGAAGCTTTTTCGTCAGTTGGTTCGATCTTCTTCATTAGGCTTAAGAAGTCCTCGGCAAACGTCGGGAGAGCCGGGCCCAACAACTCCGAATTTTCTATGCCAAGCCGACCCAGAGCAATAGCGGCATTCTCAGCGAGGCTCTTTGGAACGCGAGCGTTGCACATGATCTCAACAAGGTGCTTGAGAAGACCAGGAACCCACTGTGCCATGCCTTTGCCGTGCTGCATGGTAATCTCGCCGAGAGACCAACAGGTGTTGTTGTAAGCTCCAAAACCATCTCCGACCTCGTCGTCCAGCATAGAATCCAAGTCTAGTTGTTTTATGGCGATAGGTAAAATAGATCTCAGGTGTGGCTGCATCAATGGGTATACGTAATTTGCGCAGTCGCCCAATATAGCATATGCAGATTGTCGGACCTCGTCAGCCGGGTCCTCCATGCAGAATGTAAGCAGCTCGAAGAACGGCTGAGGGGATGTCTTGACAAGCTCTGTAGACTTTTCCTCGCCCAAAGCCTGAATAATCGCACTTAGGAGATCAAGACTAGTTACGAGGAAGTCCTTGTCAGGGGTGTCGAGAGCACCATTGCTTGCAGCGGCTAGGCTCTGCTCCAGGTTCATGTGAATGATGTTGATGCATCGTACAAAGATCGGGGGCGCATACGGGGCGAACTCGGGTCCCAGGGCCAAGGCAACATAAGATAGGCACTCCAGGAGTGGAAAAATTTCTCTAGATTGGTCTGAGACGAGGTTGTACCTTTCTGTCAGGGCTGGCATCAACTGGTTCATGAGCTCAGGAGTGGCGAGTAGCGATCCAATACGCTCGGCCAGTGTCTGAACACAATCATAAAGGACATACATGTTCTTGTCCTTGTATTTACCGAAACATCGAACAAACTGTTGAATAATGGGCCCACAATATGGCTCCAGGTGGGAGCCAGCCTTGTATTCAATGTTGGCGAACGCCGAAGCACCGGCGGCTTGGACTTTCTTGTTTTTGTCGAGCATCTTGCGAAGGATACCATCCATGAGTGGCACGAAATATTGCTCTCTCTGGCTCTGTTCCGGCAATTCCGCTGCCCATTCTGAATATCGACCTAGCGTCCAACAGGTGATTTGCCGGACAACAGGTTCGGAGTCTTCCAAGAGAGAGATCAAGTACGGCACAAGCTCCGGAAGATGAGGAACAACAACATCCATGCAGCCCTCTGCAACTGCTCCTAAAGCCAGGACAGCGGCCTCACGGTGTGGCCACTCGTCATGCTTCAAATTCTGAGATAGATAAGGGAAGATGGCCTCGAAGACAGGATTTCGAAAGTCCCGGGCAAAAACATCCAATGCCGCGGCTGAGCATTTTCGAAGCGTCCACCGTTCATCGGGATTCTCATCTCCATCATCTATCTCATCAATCTCGCCTTCCTCCAAGTCATCATCCATGCCAGCAAGCTTTTCATAGGCATTGCCGCCTTCATTTTGGTTCGCCGAGTCGCCATTTGCATTGGTAGTCCTGTTCAAGTTCTTTTTGGCGAATGCTGGCTTGATATCTTGCTCCCTGTCCTCTTCATCCTCATCGTCGGATTCGCCACCAAGAAGAGCAATGTCTTCACCGCTGTAAACCATACATTCCAAGAGGACAGGGATGATTTTGTGCAGATATGGTTGTAGGCCTTGCCACAAATCTTCATGCTCTCCCACAGCAAGCCAAAATTCAGCTGCTTCACAAGCAAGATCTTCGTCATCTCCCTTTTGCTGCGAAATAATATAGTCCACTAAGCCGCCGATATGGGGTTGCAGCTTGTCTGGCCGCCTTTCAACAAGGTGAACAAAGGCGCGGCAAACTTGTCGTCTGACGTCGGGGCTAGTGTCGCTGGAAAGAACGAACAGGTGTTGTAGGAGATCGTCAATGGAGTTGACCATGGCCTGGGAGGCTCTAGGTGTGAAGACATTGATGGCTGTCAAAGCTCCGGCGCGGACCTTGGGATGCGGGCTCTTGGTGGCAGCTATGAGCTGCGGGAGCACAAAGTTCAATGGACGCTGTCCATTGACTTCTCTTAAAAAGACACGAGGATTATCCTCGCATATTTTGGTCATGGCTGACATGGCTCCCTCCTGAGCTTCGTTGGCAACCTGGCCGCTGGTGTTTCCAATCATATCCATCAGTTGGGGTAGCAAATCAGGCCAACTCAGGAGGCCCCCTCTCCGAATGACTTCTGTCGCAATATTTCCAGCATAGTTGCGGACCTGGGGGTTTTTATCTTGCAAGGCCATCGGAACAGCCATCTTGACGAAGTTTAAACTCTCCTCGGGTATGTTCTTCCACTCCGATTTGACATTATTCTTCAGCATGATTCCGGCAGCCGATCGCACGAGGTGGTAGTCAGATTCGCTGCATTGCAAACCATCTGGTGGGTGAGCGCTTGAGAAGAGATATGCAAGATAATTATTAATGTCGGGGGAGCTCTTTGCCTGTTGCAGCATCTAGGCGGGACTCAGTAGCAGTTCACCATGTAAGCAAAGAAGCGAGGAGGTACAGACCACTTCGGCTTGTTTCTGAGCACTCTTGTCAAAGCCGCTCAAGGAGTCTCTGAGGCATGCGGCGAGCTGCCTCAGCGAGTCCTGGGATGGTTGCCACGACATTTCGACGTCTTCAGGAACGAAGAGGTCGAGCCTTGGCGTTTTGTCGGGGACGGGATGGAGCAAAGACTTCTTCTATTGGGCGTGGTTTGGGGGGAGCGCGTCTTGACGAGCATCAGCTTGTTATCTCAGAGGAACAAAGGCGGGCAAAGGGCAGCTAGTGAATGGCATACTCGGTACAGTCAGGTGAGGTGGTAAGGTCAAAGTTTCTGCCCCTCCAGGTAGGACCAGGGTCGTGGGGTAGGCCGGACGAATGCCAGGGTGTCCGTCCGGTATGCGAGAAACAAGCGTTGCTGGAGGAATTGCCAATACGGAGCAGCGGTTGTCAAGAACACCGAGACTTTCGCCTTCCAAGCACCGAAGGGTGGTCAAAACCTGTTTGCGAAGCTGAATGGCGCTTGTTGCAAGCAGTGCCATTTGGTCTGGCGGGGAAGAGCCAACTAGGCATTGAACAAACTTGCGAGTACAACGTTGTGGTGGCGGGGTGCGATAACGATAACCCGGGCATCCATTCTTGGTCAAGGTTGCAGGCTCATTGGCTCAATCCCCTGGCCACACCCATGGTCCAGTCGCCCCTACAGGATTTTATTCATGTCGAGAACCAGGGAAAGCCAGGGCGGCAGCAATTTTTTCAACATTCGGTGGCCTCTGCGGCCAGAACCGGGGTCAGTTCAAAAATGCCCCCACGTCGCATCCACTCGCATTCTTGAAACTCATTGCCCGGGAATTCAAACGGCAACACTTGGAGAAGGCATGTTGAGTCGAGGCTACCCGACACATGGAACTGTACTTGAGCATCCAAAGTTGCAAACACTGCGTTGTCCATATTGAAACCAGCCAATCCTTTAGATTGCCGCTCGGCGGGCGCTTCAGTGTACATCCTCATGACGACGAAACCCAACGCACGCGACCGGCGTATTGTCTTCTCCAATGGCTTCCAAAAACTTGCGTTGTCGAACAATTCTGACCATCACTTGGGTAACTCCCCATTCACCGCCAACGCACCCGCACCGGCAGCTTTTAGTTTATCAACTATCACCGCAACAAGGTTCCTAAACGCTTCCATTTCCTCCTCGACAGCGCCTCCCATCCCCGTGTTGGCGAAGCTCATAGAATTGGTCACATAGACAGGCAACTGTACTCTCCTTGCTAGAAGCTTTGCTAATCGAGTCGTGAATTCGACGCTTGGTTCTGAAGGGAACAGGGTTGTCGAGAGCGGCTGCTTGTCATCAAACCTCTATGTTTAACGTCACCGTTAGCCACATTCAATCAATATATTGCACACAAGGCCGAGGGTTGACAAACATTTGGCAATGCGTAAACAAAGGAGCCCATGGGCTTCGGAGCCGCCAACTCGTCTTGTGTTGCTGTTGTAAGGGACAACACAATGGCCTTGGCTTGGGTGCTCAGGCGAACGTAGATACGCGTGTCCAGAGAGTGGGGGAGGGGCAGTGAGAAGTTGAGGGGTTCATTTTGAATAGCTGCCATCGATGTCTTAAGCCCGTACCAAGGCAAGGAAACTTTAATAAATGCCCCAGGGTTTGTGTGCACAAGAGCTATGACGTGTGTAACCGCTGCTGTTGATCATGGACAAGGTACTCCGTACCCTGTTCGTGGTGTTGAAATGGAAATCTGAAGCCCAAGGTAGATCACATGATTGGCTAGAACCTTAAAGCAGTTGTGCCTGATTGGATCGTGCACGTATCTACAAGCTCCGCTATCTATCCATTCCCCTCCGTGCTTGAAAAAGCACAACCCAAGTCTCGCTCTTCCGCCAATGCCATATTTTCTAGCTTCTCGTTAGTAGACTGAAAATCCCTTCTGAGAGTTTGTATGGCCCGGATACTGCCTGAACTATTTTTACCAAGGCCGCCTCGAACCCAAGCTAGCCGGCCATTGCTGGCGTTGCCATGAGTATCCTGTGACTAGATATCCCAACACAACAAGATGGCGGATCAAGGGGAGCAACTAGCTTCGTCATCTGATACTACTGCCTGGCGCGGCACGGAAGATAGCATGGATGATCCAGAGGAGGTGAAAGTAGTTTTCTATGCTCTCGACTCTTTCTCGTAAGTCCTGCACATGCTATAAATCCTGCCCTCCAATGAGCCAGCTGCATCCTTCATTCTCTCAACAACACCACAATGGTTCTTCATCTGCTATTCATCTTATTTTATTTTTGGCCCATTTGTGACAGGTGAGTTGATACTGACCCCATATCTTTTAGGCAATACCCCAAAGTCGCACACTTTAATGTCACTCACCTCAGACGGCGCTCCTTTTACGCGCTTCCTCAAGCACACTGGAAGATGCTGGCGGCGCCCCCTTTCAATTTTCTTGAAACCCTAGACAGAACAGACGACGCAATAGATGCTAATGCCGAGCTGGCCCGTGCAATCGTAGCCCATGGTTTACGGTCATTCCACAACCTTGCAGCCGTCTCTCCGCAGGGCGAGCCCATGATACCGCTGGAGTGGACAGGCGTAGCCAAGCATGGAGATATTGACAAGGCTCGGAGTACAATCAGACAATTCTACAGGGACTGGACAGCAGAAGGCGCCGTGGAGCGCGACATCTGCTACGGGCCCATCTTGAAGACGCTTGAGCAAGAACGGGCACGCATTGGGGAGGACAGACAGCCGAAAGTGCTGGTGCCAGGCGCAGGACTGGGAAGATTGGTATTTGAGCTGTGCCGCAAGGGATACGAAGCCGAAGGCAACGAGATTTCCTATCACCAACTTCTGGCGTCATCCTACATCTTGAACGAGTGCCAAACGGAAGGGAAGTACACCATATACCCCTGGATACACACCTTCTCCAACCATCTCACCCGAGCGAACCACCTACGGAGCTACAAAGTGCCCGACATTCACCCCGCCACGACGTTGGCCAATACGGCAAACACAGGGAGTATGTCCATGTGCGCCGCCGATTTTCTCTGCCTGTACGCAGATGAGGAGCACAAGGAGTCGTACGATGCTGTCGCGAGCCTGTTCTTCCTTGACACTGCGCCCAATCTGATACGGTATCTGGAAGTCATCCGCCACTGCCTCCGACCAGGTGGTGTTCTCATCAATGTCGGCCCGCTGCTGTGGCACTTTGAGAATCAAGCCCCCGGAAACCATGGGCATGATGACGACGGAGATGGCGAGCACGACTATAATAACTCGTCGGGCATTGCAGACCCGGGGAGCTTCGAGCTGTCCAATGATGAGGTGATGGCATTGCTGGAGAAGCTGGGATTCACAGTGGAGTGGAAACAGACGGGAATAGAGACGCCGTATATCCAAGACAGCGAGAGCATGTTGCACACTGTATATAAAGCCGCAGCATGGGTGGCAAGGAAGCCGAAACAGGAGTGAGGTGACGATCCCATCCCTGTGTGCAAGACTTGACGAGTCGGCAAGCGAAGTGCATGGTGTTTATTTGGGAGGGAATAAAGCGTTGTTGCGTATAAAATTTTAATGCTGGGCACAGCAATAGACGTGGCGAATCACTACGGCGGGCTCACGGTATTTCCAATGACCCGCTGATCATGAATTTTACATTCGCTCATTGCATTGATGTTTTCCGTAACATGCATATCTACAACTTGGAGCTCCCCTCCCCAGGGAAAGCCAACTCCCCTCTCGCCCACATTGCACCTCCATCAATGGCGATAGCCTCGCCGTTGACGTGCGAACCGGCCCTGCTGGCCAAATACACCACCGCACCCGCAATATCCTCCGGCACGCCAAGTCGCCCCATGGGGTTCGTGCTGGCAATCTTGTCGGCGCCGCCCGATATCTCCAAGAGCCCGTTGGACATCTTGCTAGGGAAGAAACCAGGGCAGATGGAGTTTACGGTGATGCCCCTGGGACCCAGCTCGATGGCCAGGTTGCGGCCGAGGTGGATGACGGCCGCCTTGGACGCAGAGTACCCATAGGTGCCCTGCTTGCCAATGGTGCCAATGCCCAAGCCGGCGACGCTGGCCGTGATGATGACGCGGGCGGGGTCCGCGCGAGAAGCGGCCTTGTCCAGCAGCGGCGCAAAGACGCGAACCGTGTTGAAGACGGCCTTGACATTGAGATCCATCACCTTGGCAAAGGCCTCGTCGGGGTGGGTGTCAAAGGCCTGGCCCCAGGTGGCGCCGGCGTTGGCGAAGAGAATGTCCACACGGTCAGTGTGCTTCTTGACCTCTTCCAGCAGGTGCGTCACGCCCTTCATGTTGGCCGAGTCGGCGGGGATGGGGATGGCGACGGCGCCGGGCGAGCGGTTGGGAAGGGCATTGAGGGCTTTGCAGGCCTCGTCGCAGGCGGCGGCTTTGCGGGACGAGATGAAGACCTTGGAGGCGCCGGCTTGGAGGAAGCTTTTGGTGCACCGTTAGCCATTTTCTGTGCCCCCTTTCCCTTTTCCTCGGTGACGAGGCTCAACTTACGCGGATGCGGCGTGTAGTCCGAGACCGCGAGAACCGCCGGTCACCACTGCGACCTTTCCCTTCAGCGAGAAGAGGGATGGGAAATCTGTCAATTGGGCTTCGGCCATGGTTGCTATCTGTTGGCAGTGATGTCTCCGAATGTGTGGAAGAAGAGAGAGGAAAGTTAGAGCAGGGCGAGGGCAGGCTGTTGGGAGGTAGGGTTATATGAAGCCGTAGTGTCGAGCCATGCAACCAAGGTCGGTCCTCGGTCCAAGCCGGGCGCTTGGATCAATGCTAGCCACACTGTTACACGCCTGGGCGGACTTAATCAGGAATGATTACGCTACACAGCTGCGGACAAGACAAACTCCGGAGCTAACGTGCTTGCGTCGACGTTGGGCCGTGGACTGGGAGGAATCGCACCTCGGCGCCTGGAGTTGATGGCTTGATGGGTCTGCATTCTCCAATGACGCATGGCGTTTGTGGGGGAGATGCCGAGGTATTATCAAGACTCAATGCTAATACGGGGCCGCGCGATGTGGGGGATCTAGACCACTTCAACCAGCCACATCAATTGAGAAACTGCTCCGTAGCCATGTAGGGTATTTCTAGACTGAGTTGTTGGCCGTCTCGGATGCAGGGTTGAGGCCATTCTTATAGAATGACAGCCAAGTAATGTAATCAATTTATAAGCCAGACTAATAACCAAGTTGCCAACAAAGGAGACGTGCAAGGAGGCCACGGGGCTTCCACTAGAAACAAATCGACGTCAAGCATTACATGGTCATTGCATGGAGAAAGAGGGACGAGATATACCTGTTGCATCTTGGTAGCTGTATTCTGCGACTGGCATGCGCTGTATCATCGTAATATGGTGTTGTTACCACCTATTTGTGTACTGTTCCTCCACGGTAGGAAAATAAAACACGAAAACAAGTACCCTAAAGATAGCAGGGAAGAAATGGCATAGGAAAAGAATAGAGGAAGAAGATGCTGATGAGTAGAACATTAAAGATGAAACCCTAAAGGGTTATCGCCGTTTGCCTCCATGACGTGTTGCTCTCTACCTAAATGTAGAGCTGTACTCTGTTCAAACTGACCCTTTATGTGCCCGGGTTGAAGAATAAGTGGAACGAAAGAAAAATTGAAAGAGAATTGAGCGAAAAACCTGAACAAGCCTCCGCATTCTTGTCTGATGCTACCCAAAATCATCTTCAATGAGATATCCCCACTCCTATAAGCAGCCTACTGTTTTAAAGGCTGCAAGACGGAGGAGAAATCCCCACAGCATGGATATAAGCCGGCCATTGCACGGCTGGGAGAGGAACGTATTTGTGCTTTGCGATAAGCCCAAAACCATATCGCGTCGAGAGATGTGGTAAAGAGTAGGAGAAAAAACGTGTCTGTGAGCCGAAGCAGGAGTATGAGTCGAGTGGACCGCAAAGCCCACTCTATCTCTCATGCTTTGGATGTCGGTGGTGGACCTTTTGGTCCCAACATTGATTGACGGCTTCCTCAACAATTTGCCAGCTATTTTGCGCAACATATCCAATGAAAAAAACACTGACGTTGTGTTCAATAGTGACCAGCTTGGAATAGTTAACGCGCGACTCTCTAGAAAGCCTCTCACCATCTTCGGTGAGGTGAACCTGAACGGCCTGAAATCCTAGCCGAGGCTCACCTTCGACCTGGCGAGGTCTCTGGCCTGCTTCGTAAACGATTCCATGCTTGTTGGGTTTAACACCAGACTTCTTACAGCCTCTGCCGCCATAGGTGAGAATCGGGCTATGGAATATTAGCACTTTGCCCCGCTATGCTAGAATTGGGCTGTACAAGGCCAGGCGGCTGAGTACTCACACGCAGGTACAATGCCCATGGTCATTTGCGATCACGATGAAGCGGCGAAATCCTATATGGAATTTCGCACCATATTTGTTCTGTATCTCTTGCTTCCCAGAAACACTGGGATGTTTTAGACCGTCCGTGGATCCTTTCGGTTCGGACCACAGCACCTTGAAGATCTAGGGGTTGGGGATATATCAGTATTTTTTTGCTATTTTCTGGTTATACTTGCACACGAGAACTCACCGCTCCAGGGTCGAATTTATTTGAGTGTTCAACCCGGTACCCTAGCGATATACGGCATGAGCGATATAGACATGTATGTGGGTCATAAGTCCCTTACTCGGATCAATTGTTTCAAGTTCATCTCCAGTTTCTGCGGCAATGTGGTTCCGAGGAGTGGAAGCGCCGTCATCCTCTTGCTCATAGGCTGTATTGCTATTATTAGACTCAGGTCGGGAGATAAACATGTTCGTGTAAGGAAGAGGCAATTTGGACGTACTTTGTGATGAAACAGAGTAATTCAAGTCTGACGGGCCGGCCGCAGCCGGACCCATGCCATATGTGAGGTTTTGGATATCATCGTAGCCTCGTGGCAGCGGCTGTTGAGTATGAGTCGTAGCATAGCCAGAGCCCTGGGTAGCTGTGGCGAGAGTTAGTAATGCTTGGACGCAAGTACTGATGCTGAGCTGCCAGGTACCTAGGAAGGTAGACGCTGCCTGCTCAAAACGACTTACATGCGTAAGATGCCTCCGCTGTCTGGTAGCCCCCTGGGATGACGTATTTCCGCGTATCGTATGAGTCTGCTCTGGTAAGCATCGATGACAGCACGTCGTTTGTTGATGGTCATAGATCTTACATTGTGACTGTGATTGATCATATGAGGGGGGATGGGAGCTCTGTTGCGGAGCAGTGGAAGAGCTTCCATGGCCGTGAGAAGACGCCGAAGCTGAAGAGCTTCCATACCCTTTACGATAAGAAGAAGTCTTATCATGTGAGTAATGTTTGCTGCTGCTGCTGCTGCTGCTCTTCTCCTTTGATGACCTGTCCTTGTCTTTGCTTTTCGACTTGGATGTTTTGGACCGTTCCTTGTCTTTGTGACTAGCTACAACATAGTTCTCTACAAGTCCAACAGGGCATGTTGTCAGTTTCAAGAGTCATTCAGAAGCGAGGGCGTGGAGATATGGTGACTTGGCAAAGGTGTCCGACACCGAAAGCACTTCACTTGATGAACTAACCTGGTGAATCGGGTGGCTGCTGTTCGTAGCTCGAGGAAGAGGGAGAGAGGCTGGTGCTTCCTAGGCCTTGAGTTATTCCCGCAACATCCCCAGACTCGCGAGGCGTATCATAGTTGTAATCATAATCTAAATTTCCTGCTAGTGGTTTAGCAATCAAGTCGAATAAGGCAATGACCCAAATTGGGTATCCCACCGTTTATGTCCTGCCGAACACGATACATAAACTGTTGTCCCTCATCGTAGGCCCAATCCGACCAAGCGCTCCATGTGTCCATCGTGACGCCGGGGTAGCTAACATATGGAAAGGCTCTCGGCCGATATGGTGCCCGTGTCTGATGTGCAAGTATTCACGAGGGCGCTTTTCAAGAACAGGGCGAGTCACAAGCACGAGGCGCGCCAGGAAGGCGAGTATCAGCAACAAATACCACAACCTATCCTAGGACGGCCAAGAGGGGTTCTTGTAGGATGGGGGATTCAAAGCATGGGCGGGTGCGGCTCAAAGGCTCAAAGTGGAGGAGGCTATAAGCAACTGAAGCGACAGCCTCCCAGTTGCTGCTGCGACAAACGGGTGAGCTGGCTTGGGGCACAACACCAGATAGCGAGGATCCCACGCCGCACGGGTCGTAAATTCGTCTCAAAGAACTATTACATTGCCGCCAGACGTGCGTGGGTAGGCCGTGGGCCAATGTCCCCCCCTCTCTGGCGTTTTCTGCGCACGCGGCGGCGGTGCCCATGCAGCCGCGTCTCTGGGTTGGTTGGCATCTGACGGTGCTGCATCAAGTGGGTTGACGGCATCTCCAACACACGGATAGGATAACAAAACTAGCATAGGTCAGGATAAGCTACCACGGAGTGGAGTGCAGGAAGCGGACAGAATGGTCGCGCACGCGTCGGCCTTCAGACCCAGCTTGGGACCCAGATTCACTAGAGGTTGCGTGTTTTGCCATGAAGTTATACCATGGGTGTACGGAGTAACCACTCGGAAGGTCATGCCTACTGCTCCGGTCAGCTCACTAACCAGTCAGCAAGTCATCCACAGGACAGCGCTGGAGATGTGTTTCTCATTGTGGGCAGGCCGTTGGCGTTCCATGAAGAGCAAGGGACAGCAGCGGTTGGCCATAGTGGCAGACTCCATCGACCTGCTGTGTCAAGTCCACAATGCACTTCAATGTTGTACACCGGCAAACATGAGCACACAATGCGCGCCTGGATCTGAGTGACACAGCGTCTTGTATTGGACCAACTGGGCCCATTGTCCGCGGCGTGGGAGTTGATGGTGGGCAGTCATCCCAGGCGCACTCCTAAATGGTTGCGCATCCCGCATTAATATCCAGCCCTGATCGGCCTGACAACATTGAAAGTGAAACATATTATATGGGACTGTGACTCAACTGTCAGCTCTCACACCAGGAATCCTAGGCAACCGCCAGACAGACGAAGCAATTGTGAAGGCACATCCGACAGAGCCTCAATATTCTCCCACACAGCTCTGGCGCCGGCTCAGATGAGGACACGTTGGCGTGCTTGAGCGCGTAAGCGGAGGGAGGTGCGGGCGGGCATTGCACCAGCGCTAGATTTGCGATTCCGTACGGTACAATGAAAATGAGAAACGAGTCGACGGATCGCAGCCTGACCAGGTATACCCACGTCCAGTTGCAGGAGAATCCGCAGCTCTACGGAGTAGTGCAGCTTAGCAACGGAGAAGGGAACTCGAAACGGCGACTAAGAGGATCATGAACAGGCTTGGGAGGTGACGGCCCGGCCTGGCACTGCTGGGTCCCAGGTGCCAGCTGGCCCCCTCCTCCTCATCATCTGCACATCGCGTGAGTGGCTCCTTCCCTACGAGTTGGCCGAAGCTGCCTTGAAGGCCCGTTCCGTTGGCTCCTTCCTCCCCTGTGGCGCCTTGGTGGCGGGAGACCCACAACCCGTGCACCCATAACCATCCCCTTAGTGGACAGACGCTGGACAGACGCTGGACCGACGCTCCCGCGTCTCAGCGCCCCTGTTTCCCATCGGTGCATCATGTCCATGATCACGCCCATGATGCACCAGTCAACCTCGGGGCCGTCGAGTGGTCTATGTCCGTCTGTTTGTCCAGCGCGAGGCCGAGTGCCCTCTGGGCTCTTTTGCGCTGGATACTCTGTACATGTAGGAATTCTGGGGCACCGCTGCAATCAGGCGTGCATGAGGAGCCCGTCCGGGGAGCATCAGAATCGCGGCTGGACATGGGGGCTGTGACCGGGACTGCAGCATTCTCTCGCCCGAAACGAGCTGCCCTTGTCTTTCACTTTCGTTTTTGTCGTCCGACCATGGATGGCCTCGTGTCACAGATACAGACACAATAAACACTTTGTGCAGAGACATGGATGTGCCCTGGGTGTGCCATTCCCGGGCCTCCTAGCATTATTACCACACGCACTCTGATTTCACACTCCTCTCACTGGTCTGTCGTTTTCTCTGCATCCAATCCCCACGTATCAACGAAGACATGGACCAGTCTGTGAGCCCTGCCCTGCCCTCCCTGGTACACTGGAATTTCTTGCTCTGTTTGGAGTAACGAGTGCGCTGGGCCTGTCTTGTCGCAAGGCTGTGTGCTGGCTTGGAGCTGACGAGGAGGCCTAGGTGCCAAAGCTGTAGCACAATCAACAAAGCAAAGCTTGACCGAGCTCTGTCACAGTCCGTCCGACGAATATCAGCGCCCGTCAAGGGGCGGGCAAAAGGGTGCCCGACGGAGGCGAAGCTCACACCTTCTTATTTAAGGAGTTTCTTCGTTGCGAGCCCAGCGGGAACGAGCAGCGCCGACGAGAACAAGCGACAGACGACTCTTGAGACCTGCCAACGTCCATACTGAACAGCGATTCGACTCACGGAGTATTTGCCATCCTCGAGTCTGACCCTTCCTGTCTCGGCCTTGTTCGCGAGGCTCGAATGCCTTCATTCCAGGCAAGGCATGGCCGCTGCCCATTGCTGACGCAGTCTCCCTGCTCAGTACGAGGTGCAGCAGCAACAGAAACATCTGATTCAGAAACATTCGATAGTCACCATCTTTCATCATGCAGTCTGCCACCTTTCGAGGCTTCGCTGCCTCGACTCGACATCACGACATAGATGTAGCGGCCTCGGATCATGCTGTCCAGTCTGACATGTCTGCTAGTACAGATCGATTGATGGAAAAGCTGGCGACCACGGCCTCTTCGCGTGATGACGATGATATGAAGGGAAGTGATAGTTGGAACTTACATAGCGACGCATCGACGGTCTCGAGCAGAGTTACTACGCCCGATCCACAACCACCGCCAATATCACGACCACCACTGTCTTCTCGTACAACCCAGACTCATACTCCTCATGTCAGCAGAACGCCTGCGATACCTATTCCCGGGGCCCTGCCGCCGCCGCCTCCTCCTCCCCGTCATCGCGATCCTCAATACTTTCAACAATTTAATCAGCCTCGCCAAGTTTCTGAGTTTTCCCGCAACCCTGCGCCAGGCCCAAATATTGGTACGGACGGTTCGTATTGTCTTTCCGCAGGCGAAATCCCTCACTGCCAGACTAACATACTACTTAGAGGAAACACATGCCTTGTCGCAATCCTTTCCTCCACCAGATGGCTTTTGCTGTGATCGAGCTCCTCAGGCCCCCCTGCCGCACGCTTTCCCGCCGCCGCCGAGGTTCCTTGCGTCAAAATTAGACGCAAACCACCAAAGATTTTCATTACCGGCAACGCACAGAAACTCACGACAACAATCAGAAAGCAGTACAAACGTCTTGTTCCGGCAGTATCCGACCCCGAGCATCACGGGGTCTACTGAGAGCCCTATGCAAGGTCCCAGCTGCTCCAGTCAAGTCTTCAACAAGACCCTACAGTTCATACCGTGGCCTGACACCAGTAAAGAAGCATCGAGCTCTGAATATAGCTCTCAGGAGGACACTTTTGCATATCGAAATGCTAGGCAATTCCCCCCTCAGCTTCCAGCTCAACCCAATCACCATTTATCAACGAGACGAAACAGGTCATTCGCCACAAACCGAATCACAAACTGGGTATCTGAGTATGAAAAGTCACACGGTCCTGCTAGGTTACGGCGCCAAGAAGCGACCACGCCTGCATTATCTGATCTCCTCGAATCTGAAGCTGCAAGGTCCCAGTCATCCGCTGTTTCATCGCACGCCGCGGTGGAACACTTGTGGAAGCAACTAAAGCAGAAGAGGGCAAAATTGCAAGACATAAGGAAACATATGACACAACGACGACAAGAGCTACGGAATTTACGGCTTCGAAAGGATGATGCTGACAATGCATTTATGGCTGTTCTGCGTCCTTTGCTAGTGAGCCAACGGAGCGACGTCTTGTCATCATCTCTCAAAATCCTTGACAGCCGTATGGCTGCAATGCTGAAACTGAGGGAGGAATATCATTTCAGCGAAGCGAGCTATGAAAGCCTAGAGCTGGACCTGGACGAGGAGGAGCAGGAGCTCAGTGGACTTGAGACCAAGTTTTTCAGCATCTTAGCTGCGGGACAAGATTGCCACGCAGAACAGTCTGAGCCGACTCGTACAAGCACTGCCGACACAACCCTCGACGCTGATGCAGAAACTCCGTACTGCCTCATTGGTATATCTGCTGACAAGACTTTGGAAGATGTTCACCCCCTGTATCACAAATTTTCGACTGCTGTTGGCAATTTGGAGAATGCAAAGGAGGAATATGAGGATTTATTGTTTATGAACTCTGATTTCGAAAAGGATCGAGCCCTGAGAGAAGGGACAGGCCGAAACATAAATCGGGACGCCGAAGAGTTCTTTGCCGAGCTGCCAAACCAGAAATCGCGAATGGAGGGTGTCATCAACGCGCTTGAAAGCGAAGTACAGCGACTGAGACTGCTATGTGAGGAGAAGGGGGCCATGAAGAAGTTCTTGCCCCTACAAATGTCTTACTTGTTGAACCCTGATATGGTATATGAGGACATGGAGCTTGAAGACACTCGAGACATTCTTAAAAAGTACACAACTGCAAAGCATCCGCGCTATTCCGAGCTACTCGCCCAGAAGAGTCACTTGCTGGGGGGCCCAGTGCCACTCACGGCGAAACAAGCCTTATCGGCCGTATTTGGTCTGCCGTATAACGACCCCCTCAAAAGCCAAAAACAACAGCTTGCCGCAAAGGAATATGCGATTGAGACTCTGGTTCAAAGCTACGACTCTGACAGCAAGGCGGATCTGGTTAACCGCTGGATACTCCAACAGCTGAGGCAGTCCCCCGTGAACGCGCTACTCCTGCAGTCTGTTTTTGGCTCAGAATGCGGGCTCAAAGTTCGGGATTACTGGCGATGGCAGTGCGATGTCCTCTATTACTGGTGGCGAGATGATACTATGTCGCCAGGCGAAGTGATGGACAAGAACTACGGTAGCGACATGTCAGAATATTCTGTGCGCCAAGGAAGTCCCCAGAGGTCCAGAGCCGCGTCCGATGGCGAACTTCAATTCAATCCGACACTGAAATCACCTCGACATGTCAAAAGCAGTGATATCCTGCGATCCAACTGACAAACACTTTGCACACGACGCTCGTCGTGGCACGCAGCATTGTCCAACCTAACCAAACTCTGACTTATCGGTCATATGGACAAACTTGACCGGGGGCTTCAACCTCCACATCCTCATGGCTAGCTTGATTCTCACGGCTAGACTCACTTAGATTCCATGAAAAGTTTTCTTTTTCAAGCGTTCTGATTACCTAAAACTGTACAGCCCCAAGTCTGGAAACCACAGGACACGAATTGGCGAGCTGGAGAAACGGGCAGCATGCAACACGTGCCAAATCTTGATACCCCATTGTTTACGGTACGGTTGCTTAGAACTGGTTATATTCATTCTTTTCTTTTCTTTTTTTGTAGTCATTTTTGTCGTCATTTTTGTCGTCATTTTTCTTGTCTGTTTTTCTCTGTTGTAATTTTGCTGGAGACCTGAGATGTGCGGTCCTGTACCACGCTCAAAAGCTTTGTTTCTATTTCATATGCTTTTCCTTTCTTTTCCTTTCTTTTCTTTTCTTTTCTTTTCCTTTCAAAGGTGTGAAAGCACGGTCCGTCATCCGCGATGACAGATACGGTAGATTGAAATGGGTGTTTTAAGGATGAAAAACCTGTAGATCAAATTGATCCTGTTTTTGTACTGTGCCATACATACACCACCATACGGCACCTGTCGTGTTTACCCGCAGCCTCGCATGATTACACATGCGCACATTTCGCACGGCTTGAGCGAGCAGCTCCAGCCCTCGATTGAGGCACATGTACCCAACTCTCGACGGCATCCACGTCTCCCGCCCTCACGCCACTCACCCACCCTCTTCATCTGGTGTTGGTGTGTATTGGTTCCCGCTTCCGCGGTCGCAGCCCAAGCCCATCACATCTAAGTGCTGGAAGCACCCGGGTAAGATGGTACAGCTCCGCCGAGGATTGCCGTTCTCGGGTATCTCCCGGAGAAATTATGCGCGAATCATGTCTCGATAACATGTGACATCTCGCATGCACCATGTTCGCCGTAGTCGCAGATTAGTGTGTCAATTTTGGACTTTCAGGCAAGTGACGATGTTGATGAGGCCGGCGTTGCGGGTTGCTTGAAGAAGCCTCGAACAAGCCTCGAACACGAGTCTCTTGGGCTCGACGAGCCGAGGGACTTGGTGTGGTATGATTGGGATTCAGCGATTTCGATTACTGGAATCTGAGATGCTGGCTTTCAATTTGCTCGACGGAGCTATATTGTGAGTTCCTTGGCCCGTCCACACAGAGCGGTATGCTGGCTAGTTGGCACTCTACCAAGTTGCTTGCTGAGGACCCCTGGGTTTGTTCCTGCTGTAGGCTGGCTCGGTGGCAACCAAAATGTTCAATGTTGACTGTATAGTGCAAGAATACCGGAAGCGTATGCACCTTTAGCACCGTCTTGGGCCGGGCTCTCTGCACTTACGTTGGGCAGTAGGTGGCATTGGGCTGTGCAAAGGAGGGTGGTGAAGGTGGCCCCCTCGGGATGGAATTTGTTACGAGACTGACAGAATTCAGCGCCTAGGCTGCCAAATTTACAACGAGGATGGGTCATTTTCTCCTTCCTCTTCTACATACGTCGTTTGTTACTATGACTGTATGATGGAATGCGTTTATCGGTGTCGGTGGTGTATTTGAAGACGAGACTTTGCAGTGCCGCGTTGGGGATTGGAATGGATGGAAAGACGCTTTTGTATGGCTACCTTGGTTCATGTAGTCATGTTTAGTGAGACCGGAATACCATCACATCGATAGACGCACCGCGCGGCTTGCCCAACAGTGGAATGAGTAGGTTACGCGTTGGTCTTAAAAGAGGACGGCGATAAAGTCAAGGTTTCCGTGATGTTTTGCCACGTAGAGATCTGATACGGTTTACCACGAGAGGAAGCCGGGATTTGGCGGGGCAGATGATATGCAAGGTGTGAACAGTTGTTGATTAAGTATGAAATCAGGGGCTTGGGACCTCAACGCGCTCAGGAGCATCGTCCCATCCATGGGCCAGCTTTGTTTGACTTCACTTGTCACAGGGGCTAGCTTTGGATGTCCGAAACGCCGTATGTCCTGGTTGTACCATGGACTTTACACAAATTCGTAGCATGGTGAAGCAGCAAATGCGTGGAGTATATTGAGGTAGTAGGCGGGCGGTAACATGTAGGTATTCAATAATCCATGATCAACTTCCCCAGACCACAAACTCGTTTCCATGTCCCACCGAGACCAATGATCCATCATAGAGTTACACATTTGCGGTGGCTTGATACAGAAAGAGCACCTCCAGATTGAATTCTACTTGCCAAAACATCGCCATCCATTTTGCGGTTCGTCGGTTGTTTTCGGCGAGGTCCCCCACCAAGACCATATTGACCAGCGACGAGGCGGCGGCTTTGACTCTGGGGTCGATTTCGATCTCGAGGCAGTCTTCCCGGCTGCACCATCACACTTCTTGCAGGCTGCCTCCTTGCCATGGGTCCTCTTGGGGCAGGACTTTTGCCCGCACGGAGTGACTTCGACGGGTGCGGTTGGCTTGTGCATGGAGGCCCGAAGTGACGATTTTCCATTGTTTGATTCCGTCGATGGCGGCCCTGGCTTTGATACCGGAGGCTTTGACGGCGGACCCGGCTTCGAGTGCCCATGAGGTAGAGCATGTGATGGCGAGGACCCGTGTACGGCAGGTAAACTCGCCTGATTGTGGTGTCTGGCCAGCGCAGAATCATGGGTCGAGGCGGCTCGATGACTGCGATGTGGTCTTGCATCTGAGCTCTTTGTATGGGATCTAGTCGAATGATCTGAGCCCTTTGTATGGGATCTAGTCGAATGCGTGGATGGACGTCTGTGTTTGCTGCTTCGTTTTCGCCTAGGTTCGATGGGCGATATGAAGCAGTTGTACCCTAGCATTGGGGGAAACATGGCTGCGAATTTGTCGTCGGGGTTGCTCGACTAGTGAAAGTGACAAGACAGGCGACGAGGGCGATGAGCACAGCCGTGCCAGAGGATACGTAATCAGGGCAAGTTGGTAGAAGTGAGTATGATAAAAATATTCTGCTGTAGGGAACACAACCACTGCTTCGGGCTCTTCTTGATGACGGAATGCCAGTCGCGAAGAGACACAAGCAGTGGAGGAGCAAGGACAGGAGAATACGCCGCAACCCGTATCGGCTCCAAGAAAGAGGTTTGGTTCTTGCTATTTTTTGACAAAATTCAGCATCAACCCACCTTCCCCAGGATTGGACGGCAATGTCGAGTGTGAAGCAAGTCGGGGAAGCCTCGCACTGCATCTTAATCGTGGCTTCCCTTTGTTCTTTGCGTCAGCTTTGATCCAAGTACCTAGGTAGTGGGTATTAGAGTGCTGCAGAGCGAGAAAGAGTCAATCAAAACCGGCATTGAACAGCCCAGACGTCGTCTCATGGCTGCAGCATGCTGCCGTGAACTGCTGCGACTTGGGCGCTGTGTCGTGAGTTGTGACCGTCTGCCGCCATCATTCTTCGGCGCGAAGCGCAAATTGGGACAAGTTGCTGGTCGATTTCGGCATCAAAGCAAAACAAGTTGACCCTCTCGCGGCTCGCGTCTCCCACCTGAAGCCATCATGCCGCCCGTGCATAGCAAATTCCACCCACACAATCGTAGAGGTCCCGGTCCCGGTCCCGGTCTCGATTCCCGATGAGTTGATGGCGAGTTCACCAAGTCCGACATGCACAGAACCAACGTGAAGACAACTCGGAAAAGTAATGGGAGAATTGTTCTAGTCTTTCTCGGTCTCATCCCATGGATGCAACGGAGACGCGGTGTGTAGAGTCTGAGAAATGACACATTGGTCACTGATTGCGTAGTGAAGATGGTTCTGGTGCGAAATCGCCGCTCTGACTCACCAGAGTCACCGACTCACCACCCGCCCACCGAGTAGCTTGACCGGTGGCGGAACTGTCAGACTACTCGACAGATGTACATAACTTGGACCACCGGCAGAGCCACTGCTTCAAAAACATTAACGTTCAGTGCAACCGTCGTATTCCAGACCAGTTGACCGAACTCATCGTTTCTTGGCTCGCATCGCCATGACTGCGAATTTTCCCCAATTTGAAGAGGAGACTCTCCGCCTTTGGCGGGAAGTTGACGCGTTCAAAACACAGCTTCAATTGACCCAAGGGGGACCGAGATTCTCATTCTATGATGGCCCGCCGTTTGGTATGTTCTGAACTTCTGATTATGCCTTCTTTGGGCAAAGTGAACCATTCACTGACCATGATCAACAACAGCGACTGGTACGTGCACAGCAATCTGCGATTTTTCGATCTTGCGTCCTTTGGCGCCCCCAAAAGCCTCCCTGCTAACTGAAGTGACAGGCCTCCCTCACTATGGTCATTTTCTGACCGGGACATTGAAAGACATTATTCCGAGATACTGGTCCATGAAGGGATACCACGTGGTGCGACGGTTCGGCTGGGACACGCATGGCGTTCCGATTGAATACCAAATCGACAAGAAGTTTGGTGTCTCTGGTCCCGATGCAGTTCGCCAAATGGGCATAGAGAAGTACAATGCCGAGTGTAAAGCCATTGTCATGACATATGCCCAGGATTGGAAGCAGATCATGGAACGACTTGGTCGCTGGGTAGACATGGACAATGATTACAAGGTGCGTTGGCATTCCGACAAAGCAGCCCGTGCTGTGCTAACTGTCCCAAGGCCATGGATCCGTCATTCATGGAGACAGTATGGTGGGTGTTCAAGCAGCTCTTCGATAAAGACCAAGTATATCGAGCATATCGCATCATGCCATATTCCACCGCCCTCTGCACACCACTCAGTCTTATGGAGGCCAAGGAAAACGAAAAGATGACACAGGATCCCGCCATCCTGGTTTCCTTTCCGTTAGTTGGCGTCCACGGCAAGGAAAGCACTTCTCTCGTCGTGTACACAACCACTCCCTGGACCCTGCCTTCGAATTTGCTCATTGCAGTGCACCCCGACTTTGAGTACTTGGAAATACTTGACCAACAGAGTGGCAAC